ATAAATTATTTTTTCCCGGACATTAGGTTTTTATGAGTTTTGTGCTGCAATAACACCTATATTGTCCAGACCCTGTGTTTTGTTTATGTGTGTGTTTCGAGTGCGTTTTACCCGTTTTTTTCAACGCGGTAAACAGAGAAGCTAGGAAGCTGAAATTTTGGTGCATGTGATCTCGCAGACTTGAATTTGCTGCTCACGTAGGCCTTCGCTTCATGTACGGACACGTGGAAGTTTTGGCACTTAAATTAGCCGAGGCTGGAACGCACCGGGCGCGTTTTTGCGTCGAACTTGAAGTACTCAGGTCATTACTTACTGCATGAATGGTTGTTGCTTTACACCTATTTTGTGATCACTAGCATAAACCACTATAAGTTTTGCATAAAGTAAATGTACAATTTCCATTTGACGATCGTTCTTTAAGAGTAACCTAGCTGTCCAGTGAGAAATTTTTCCGCCAAACTTTTAATTGTCCATGCGTAGCAATCGCGCATAATTCAAGGCTGAGTTTGAAATACTTAAGTTGTACTTAGACAGAGAATATTCCCCCAGAATTTCGGCTTTCTAGCTTCCCTGGGTCTCGAGTTAGCAATTTTTTCGCCAAAACTTTCAGATGCCCGTACTTGGGTACTCCACGTGCCGGGGAAGTAAAGTTTGGAAATTTTTAATTGTCGTGGTCAGATAACATTCCCCCTAAAATTCCAGCCTTCCAGCTTTTCGAGTTGGCGAGTTAACAGTTCTCCCGCCAAATCTTTTGCGTGCTTGTGCGTAAGAATCACGTATACCTGAGGGCTGGATTTGAAATATTTAATTTGTAGTTGGACAGGGGACATTCTCTCCAAAATTTCAGCTTTCTAGCTTTCCTGGTTCTCGAGTTAGCAGTTTTCCCGCCAAAACTTCCATATGCCCTTATGTGAGTACCACGCATACCTGGTGCCTGAATTTGAAATCTTTAGCAAACATATGCCCCTACAAAATTTCAGCCCTTACCTTACTTAGGTCCCCAGAACGCTTTTCCGCTAAAAATTTGCGTATTTTTTTGAAGCGTCTGCGGAGAATGATATTAAAACGGGGAGGAGGTCGCGCATGGTGTGGCCATATACTCCCAAAGTTTCAGCCTTCTAGCTTTTCTTGTTCTCAAGTTGAAAGTGGGTGACAAAAAGCGCGAACACACACACACACAGCTTCTTCCCAATATGCGTTTTTGCAACTTGCATATGTACGAAAATGCATAATAACTCGGGAAGCGCAAAAGCTAGGAGATTGTTCCTTGCCTGCTTGCTAGTTCGCAAAGTCCAACTTATCCTTCAGTTACGCGCAGGTCTCATTGTATGGATACGTTAAAGTTTTGACGCGAAAATTAATAACCCGGGAACCACAAAAATTCCTATGCATATCAGGCAGTAAAGCAGTGAACACTTCTAACAGCTAAGAGAGTTGCGCAGGTGTCCGCAAAGCAGAATTGCACAAAACGCATGGTCGCACTAACTATCCTGGTGCACGTCGCTGTTTTTCTTTTCCCGTTGTCATAGAATCTGATAGTATAACCGTGACAGGCGTGCTATTTCAAAAGCAGTGTAACTCCTTCCACTTTCAGTACAATTCAACCCCTTGCTGGAAATTCGAAAATTTGCTTAGCCCTGTTAGAAGTTCTCCTCAACTATAGCTGAACTGCGGCTCGAAAAAAGGCATGCACAGAGAATTTGTACACTCGGCCTGTTCGTCATTGGAGGATTTCAAAGTCATGTATATCTGAGTTTTTTTGGCTTGCCAGCACATC